GGGGGGGGGGGGGGGGGGGGGGGGTAGGCGGACGGTGCAGTTGCGAGAGAAGGGGGGGTGATGCATCTCTGCCCCCATAAGATCGTCTCTGAAAAAAGGTGATGGGGAATCAATCACACAAAGAACACCGTTCTTTTGGCGAATATACTGCTGTAGACGATGACAATATATAACGCCGAAGCTCTTTCACTTTCGTCTTCGCCGCCGCCTGTTTTACATGGGAGGAGAGAGAGCTACCGTAGCTCACCGACAGATGGAGGGTGGTTAGGCCCGTGTTGCGCGCCAGCGCGTCCGCGATAGCGCCGGCCCCCGCCGCCCCTATGGAGTTCCCGCTGAGGTAGAGCGTGCGCAGCGAGCTGTTGTGGGCGAGGCCCCTCGCCAGGCTAGCTGCCCCCTGGTCGGTAATGCCGTTGAATCCTGTCGGAGAGGCGAAGAAAAACGACAAGCCGTGGTGTGTGTGTGTGTTTGGGTCAGGCAGTCCGTCTTCGCTAGGGTAGATAGACAGCAGGGGGGTGACGCAGTTTACAAGGAATAACACCGGCGGTATACGTCGGTGGCGTTCTGATATCATCTCCGGATAAGATATCACTACAGTAGGACCTCTGAAAGAAAAACTGACGCAACAATTTTCTAGGACAGACTTGGGAGAAATATCTCTCTTTTCTGAGAATGAAGGTTGATGCCGAGGTTCTCTGGGAGGACACACGGCACAGAGCGAATTATTCACAGACCGTGGGAGGCAATCGGTGGGATATTTCAACACCCAAGCACGAGTACCCCCCTTTCCTCCCTTGTCCAAGAAAAAAAGAGGCCAAGCGCTCGGCCTGTGTGCTTGACAAAATGTCTTTGATGTGAATACAGCGAAGAACTGCTGCTGTAGCTCAGGGTGCGTCAGGCAAAACATTAAGCAAGAGTATCTACCCCCGCTACCCCTTGGTTCCTAGAAGAGAAGTGTGGGCATCGCAGGCGTACGCGCCGAGGGGACAAGGCCAAATTTAAGGAAAATATGAAATGAAAGTAGCGCTCAAGAACTGGAGGTTTTTCTCTGGTAGGATCGGACCAAAGCTCCCATTTTCAAAAGTGAAACGCACGGCCAATCACCAAAGCACAGGGGGAGGAAGCAAAGGCTGCCCCCCCCCCCTGCCCCCCCCCCCCCCCCGCTTTTTTACCCCAAAGCCAAGTGGGGGCCCAAACGTGCTACGTGACACCCCCCGTAACCGACCCCGCCCCCCCCATCCCCCTGAGAGCTGGGGCACGGCTTTGCGTGCTAAGCCCCACCCAC